TTCTTGAGATCACGAGCTGCATCGGTCCAGGGTACGAGACTAGTGAACAAAACCAGGGTGAGAAAAAGTGCCAGCTGCTGCAATGCCATTCCAGAAGCTTTAGAAGTCATAACTAGTATCTTGGCCTGGAGACATGTTCATGGATACGCATATATAGAGGGGGAATCAATGAAAGTTCTGTGGCTTCTCTCTTGATGGGTGTGCCAGAGAGACAGGACTTCAGTGCTAAACATGGGGAAGTTAATAATGCAGCAGAGAAGCAGGCCGGTTAGAAATGAGTGCCACCTCTTCTTTCACCTCATAGCATATATACAGGTGTGAAATACTGTCTTGCCATGCATTTCAACTTTCAAGTTTCAACCGCACAAGGAAATCATCATTGTCATCAACACCAAACGAAGTGGCAAAAAGATCAAAGCATTACAAATTATTACATCAATTTTGGAGTCTAAATCACAATTCATTTGGCATTTTTACATCGTAATGAATGAAAAAATTGGTTACGATGATACAAAAGAGATACAATAACAATGGAAAGGCAGGCTATGGAACACAACAAAAATATACAAAAAACAAAGAAATTGCATCGTTTTCTCAATCTTCATTCCTTAGCTGTTAGTGGTATTGTACAAAATCTTGACAATAACTGACAAGGGAATGTTGATGATATGACCTTGATTTCCAAACAGCCCAATTCTTCCATAGCTAGCCGAAGAGCTGTTCACTGTTGCGTTAAAGAAAACAGTCAAGACCTGCTTCTGTCCACTACCAATAGTGAAGTGAGTTGGAGCCACCTTTATTGAAACCCCATAGGGAGCACTCCAACCAACACTATAAGCCTCGTTGCCAGCAATGTTAGTCACCAATCTTTGGACCGTCTTAGACTGATTCAGTTGTGAAATTGTGATTGAAGGCAAGTTCAGGTCAGTACCACTGATGGTAGAATTATATACCCAACAGTTCTGACCTGTGTAATTCAAGACCACAGGAGCAGAGCCGTTGATGCCACAAAGAAATGACATGTAATCATCATAAGCTGCAATATTAAGTAAGCACATTGAGTTAGAATAGGATGCACATTAATTTTAAATCAAAGAGAGTTGTTGTACTACTTTGCTTTGTGTTTGCACTCTCAAAACAAGCAATTACTTAGTCTAAAACTAGACCTTTATTCATACTACCTCACTCTATCTCACTCCAGCAGCATTTTAGCCTAGTTCATACTTAATATAAATGAGCAGCCACTTTGCTTTGTTTTTTCAGTCGTAACTAACTAACTCTATCTCATGTCAGTCACATTTTACCCTTGTTCATATTTAATATAAATGCATAAGTAACCACTCACTTTCTCTTTCACTCTAAACTACCTCACTTTTCCCTGCTAGGCACAATTTATCCTCGTTCATAATTACATATAAACACATACCCCAACTCCATGCTTTCTCTTACTTGCTCTAGAGCTCCCAATTAGCCACACCTTCACCTCTCCTTTCTAATTTGATTCCACTCCCTCTAGACAGCACTACTTCACCCCAATTACAAAACAAATAGCCAAAAACAGAACCTGACATATTTAATGATCAACGGAAACAAGAATCAGGTTTTTTTTTATGTCTGACATATGTACAGGTAGACTAATCCCTGGGGTAGTAATAGTTCCAGAATATAATTTTTCTAGCAATCCCCCACTAGACTAGTCAGCAATTCAGTGTTTTCTTTTTTTTTTTTTCTCATTTTATCAAGAAGAAAAGATTAACAAGATGATCGTTTTTTTGTTAAGTGATAGTTAAAGTGCAAGTGTACCATGCAGAATGACTTACTGGAATCAAAAATCAGACCCGGATCCAGTGCTGCTGTGGCATTTACAAACCCACTCCCCATGTCAAATGGTGTAGCTGGAGATTGATTTTGATCTGGACTGGCATAAGCACGCTGAGCCATTATTGGTCCACCATTCTTGTCAAATTGAGAAGCTGTGGTGGAAAGTGCAGATGCTATGGCTGAAGGACTGAATTGGGGGAACTTTTGCTTAACGAGTACAGCAAGTCCAGCAACATGAGGAGCAGCCATGCTTGTTCCAGACATAATAGCGAAGTTCTCACCTACAAGGACAAGTTAACAATGTAATCAACCTTCTAGCTTGGGTGGGATTGCAATTTAATTGTTCATTATGTCTGTATGATATACCAAGGAATTCAACTGAATCTGTGCCGAGAGAACTCCAAGCAGCCCATATCAAATTTCCAGGAGCAACCAAATTGGGTTTCATTAGGTCTGAATTATCTAGAAAACTGTCTTCTGGATCTGGTCCTCTTGCAGAGTAATACATAATCTTTGGTGCAGAAATGCTGTAATTTGCCTTTAGTCCGCCTGAAATGCTTGCAACTGCCCCAAATCTAACAATTTTCCCCGTAAATCTATCTCTTTCCAGGGAGGAATTGTAGTACTTCTGTAAAATCTGTTGAAAGAAATCATAACACTTCATTAAATTCTAAGAACAAGGAGAAAATAAAGTTTTTAAAAGAACATGAAGAAATAAAGTTTTTAAAAGAACATGAAGAAATGAAGTTTTTAAAATAACATGGAGAAAATAAAGTGGTAAAAATCAGGAATACATGTACTCCTACGAATCCAAACCTTGGAATCATCTGGGGATGGAATTATGATGCCAGGAATTGTCATTGGAATAGGGTTGAGCTGAAAACCAATTACATATGGATCCATGTAGAACACGACTCCAGCTGCACTGAGGTTTTGGGCTGTTTGTAAAGCCTGTTTAATGGTTGAGAGTCCAAGGACAAAACGGATTGAATAGCTACAGATTAAGAGGTTTCCTTGGATGAGTTCCTGCCTGAAGTTACTGGAGTCTTGGCACTCACCAACATACATATCATTGGCAATCGTGGTGTCATTGCATAGAGCATGAACTGCAGAAATCAGCGTGTACATTGTATCATTATCTGTCCCTGCTGCAAAACAGAAAAGTAGCTTCATCAACTAATTAATTTGAGTACTTCTGCTGATAGCATAATTTAATGAGTAAATAATACATTCCTGAATAAGATCCAACTGAGTATGCCACAACGAATGCATACACCAATATTCATTATTTACATTTGGCCGTGTTGAGAGCATATTTTCCCACTATATTTGATAAACTCTGCCTCTAGCTGTATGTTTTCAAAGTTGTGGAACAAAATGCTGATTTCTCGTTTTACTATTATGCAAACAAAAGAGCTTTCCCTGAAGTACTTTATCATACCTACTGATTCTTTCTACCAACTCAATCATAACATGTGTGGCTATCAAAAAGTGGATCAAAGTTCCTTTAGAATAATATCTAATTCCTCCAAACATTGTCCATTCAGATATATTTTCTAAGGCAATTTTTGTTAAGGCATGCATTGATGCATATATAATGATACATAATACAATTCATGATTCACAAGGAGGTCTGTATGACTAAAAAGAGGCAAATAGTTCAAAAGACACTTACGTGCAAGTCCAACTCCAGAGAGGATTACTTTGTTGCCAAGAACTATAGAGTTAGAGTACACCCTGTCATGTGAGGCAGCACCAACAGTGAAGATCCATGGACTAAAAGAAGACATGCTCTTAGGTGATGGTCCAGTATTGCCTGCAGCTTGCACAACAAAAATACCAAACTTTACAGCTGATAGCAATGCCATGTCAATGGGATTAAAAAATGTAGCAATCCCAGGAGGACGTCTGTTGGGAGTGATTGACAAGCTTATGATGTCAACACCATCTTGAGCTGCCTGCAAACATATGATGGAAGAACTAATTTAAATAGTATCATGGGTTTGAAATCCATTTATTGAATTCCACAGATGTTATTAAAAAAAATTTCATATCACTATGAAACTTAAAGTTATTGATTATAAAAATAGATACTATAAACTATCAAGTTAAGTTTTTTAACAATTATTATCAGTTAAAATAGTAGCAAAGTCTCCTGCTCTTCATAAATTGAACGAGTTGCTCACCAATGGTTTGGGCTTGGTGAGGTTTGTTCATTTAATAAACAAACCAAGCTTGAGTAAATGAACTAAATTTTGAGCTTACCCACTTAGGTTAGACCATAGAATGCAGGAGACAAAAATCAATAAACTTACCCAAGGGACACTTTAGGCAATGAAAAAGCATTAAGACATTGAAAAATGGTTATCTTCAGCTAAAAACTCCAATAAATTGGTTATTTATTTATTTATTTTTGGACCGCATAAAAGGATAGGTTCAAAATCTCTTTGTATGCACATAAGCCATGTAAAAATAAGGCTCTTAGCAGAAAAAAGAGTAACTGAAATTGAATATACCTGGTCTATGGCGGCAACAACATCTGCAGCAAATCCTCCAAAGCTCTTGTACAGTGCCTTATAAACTGCAATACTGGAAAATACAAACACATAAGTAAATGAACAAACAGGTAAATGTACTGAAGAAATCATGAGATATCAATCAACCTTTAAGTTCTCAATCATAATTGTCACAGCAACAACCAAAGTTTTTAGACATCCATGCAATCAATGAACAGTTACTGCATGTCTGCACGAGTTGGGCCCACTTTTCTGTGGTTTGTTGCCCTAAAAGTTGATCTCATAACAAGCATTTTAAATTTCACATGTTATTGGTTGGGATTAGTGATGACTATGATGAGGGAGCATTGTTTGATGAATTTGCTTCTACCAAGAAGCCTCATAAATATAGAAAGAAGAGAAAATAACTGGATCAGGTTTAGAGAATTACTGTGAACGAGGAGCCATCCCGCTTGCATTTCCAAAGTAATGTCCTGCCACTACCACTGGAACTCCGTGGTTTCCTGAAGCAACAGAAGCTGTATGCCTGTATCAAGATTACATATATTAGCTATATTTAGAAAAATCAAGTAAACACCATCATCCTTAGAAGTTGTATGTCATTGCATTTCAACAATGAACTTAATTATACTTAGTGATATCACAATCACTGAACCAGATACAACTCTGTCATATCTAGCAAAAAAAAAATCTAACCATTATTTTCATTTATCAAGAAATTAACTCCAGAAGCAATCATCTTCACTATTTCAAAGTCTAACTATTTTAAATAACAGATAAGATATCAGTTTGACGCCAACAGATAAGATGTCTACTTAAAAGAAGGCACCTAGGATGGAAGGCATTGCCCCAGGTCTCAAATATGGAAAACAGGAAAAGAGGGGAAATATGAGAACAGCATGCAATGTCATTCAAACCATGTGGCCAAGTCCAATCATTTTAAATGCAGAATAACTGAACAAGGACAAGAAAAAAGTGTAACCATCTAATATAACATAAAGGTCACATATGAACTTCTTCAGTGCATTAGACAGGAGGGTCAAGAAGTTTTGTCCATATCATACAACATGCTGGAATAGAGAACGTGTGGAGAATCATGATATTAACCACAGAAAACCTCATCAAAGAAGTTCACTCCAAATGTAATAGCTAGGATAGAAAACTTACAAATACGAAACTAAAGTTACTAACACAAACTGACCAACCTAGAATGTCTAATAGCCTCTCTGTTTTTTCAAATTTCACTATTGCATTGTTCCCTTGGCTGTAAATGAAATTCTTTTTATAACTTGGAATCTCTAGGATTTCTTCATAACTTGGATCCCAATAGTTCAAACCTCCACATAAGTGGCATGTACTGTTACATTCTTTTCCTTAAACTCCTATGAAATTTTCAAATACGCAAATAAAAACCAAAATGTCTTTCCTAAGAAGGCAGGGACTAATAATTCACCACAGAAAATGAGAAAAAAAAAAAAAAGAAAAAAAAAGGGGAAGAAATTTAAAGAACTAACTTGACTGTGTTCCATAAAGAAATGTAGATATAAACTCACGTGCCATGGCCATCACCATCAAATGGTGAAGCATAGTCCTGACTTGAATTGAATATTCCTCTAGTTATAGCAGATGCAGCAAAATGTCGAGCTCCAATGAGCTTCCTATTGCATGAACCTGATGGAAAATCCCGAGTGACCTCACAAATCCCAGAAAAGTGTGCAGGAACTGGGTACGGGCGCTCTGATGTATCATCAGCAAAACTTGGATGAGTTGGATCAATGCCAGTATCGATAAATCCAACAACAATCCCTTCTCCAGCAGTCTCATAACCACCTTCTTGAACCCATGCTCCTTTTGGTAGACCCAAGAACTGTGGAGTGTGAGTGGTTGCAGTTCTAACAGAGAAATCTAAAACCACATTTGCAACTTCTTGCCTCCTTGAAAGCTTATCTGCCTTTAAAATTGAAGAACATCACCAGATCCCACAGTTCAACAGCAGCTTATTTCCAAATAATGATAAAAGTTACAAGAAAAATTAAAAGTTCATACGTATTTGTGATACTAGGCAGAAAAGGAAATGAATAAATTATTTCTTAAGAAATTGAAGAAATTAATTGCAATGATATCATTGAAAATGCATTTTCCAGCACAATTATGATGATGACATGACATAATGATGGATGGTGATGATGAAAGTTGAGTGATGATGCCCACCTGTTCTGGGGTAACAAGCACAGCAAAGCCATTAATCAAGTAGTGGTAGCTGTAGAGCTTCAGATACTTCTCCCCTCTAAGCACCCTCCTTAATAATGAATCATGAACTCGAGATATATAAGAACTAGACCTCCTGTCAGTTTTTGAAACATTCCTAATTGTAGAAAAAATAAGTTAAAAAAGCAATCAGTCAACTTCATAAACTTACAAACAACATAAAAGGCTTAGGAATAAAAAACAACTCGAAATCAGAGAGAGCCATGCCAAAGAAGCTGCATAACAAGCATAATAATAAGTGTTTATAAGTTATGGACAAACAATTGGCAATTTAAGAATTTTCACACGCTGAAACACCCTTTTTTTTCACAGAATGTGAATCTGAAAAGTTATCCAATAAATAAAATAATCAAGATAATCATAGAAGGGAATAATGGGAAAATGTATGGGAAAATGATTTTGGGTTTGGGGCAAAATGTGACCAAAAGAATTACGTTGGGAATACTAACATAATTCATGATAGATACCAGTCTCACAATTTCCTAACACACAAATGCCGTTGAAGCCCCACAGAAGGGAACAAGAGGACCCCATGATGCAATTTAGTGTAAAAAGATGATCTTTAAGAATCAATAACAAGAAAACTATGGAATTAGAACATTGGTCTATACTGCACATTACACAAATACCAACTAAGTAGTCAACTTACTAAAGGATCCACCACATCACACACACACACACACACACCAAAAAAAAAAAAAGAAGAAGAAGCACGGTAACTTCAGAAAGCACAAAAGACAAGATGCAGAGCAAATTTAAGCTGCTGGACCTAGGGCAACAACGTGCAATTAAGAATCAGAAGAAGAAAATTAATTAAGGAATGAGAAGACTTCGTACCTGGGCTTGTCCAGTCTGTTCAATCTCCCGGATTCACCAAGCTTGAACCCATGGCTCTGCCCGCTCAGTTCCTCATTGTAGTAATGAGCAACCGGACCTTGTCTAAGAGTAACAATGTATACAGCAGTAATAGAATCTGAATCCTCCTGACAGAAAACGTTCAGACAAAGGCCCAAGCAAAGCGGCAGCAGTAGAAGCACCCAATAAATTCCCCCCATTCGTGAAAGGAAAACTAAATCCCAGAAAGCAAACAACTTTTAAAGTATAAGCACAGAAGGCAAAAGAAGAACAATGCAGAAACGCATTAAAGACCCATGTAGTTCAGTTTGAAGCAGGGGCTGGGTTAACAGAAGAGTAAAGCAAAACCCACAAAACAGAAGACCCTTTGGTGGGATGTGGGATCAGCTGTGAAGTGGGAGATGCAAAAATGCCCACTAAGCTTCTTCCATGGCAGAGAAGAGAGGAAGCTAGATGAGTGAGTTATTTAATGTGGGGAAAGCAAAAGAAGCCTTTTGTATACTTTATTAGTGACTGGAGAAAGTAGAGAGCAGAGTAAAGGGATTTTAATATTAATATTTGATGTTGAGTATGAAGAGACTCTGCAACTTTTCTCGGGTGCTGTGAATATGAACGTTTTGTTTAATGTTTATACAAAGAAAAAGAAGATAGGAGGAGAAAATGAACGTTTTATTTCTTTTGTTCTTTTTCTGTCATTTTGACTGTAGTTTCTTTGTTGAGTTTGATTTCTTTGTCCTTTTGCGTTATAATTATTCTTATCTAATTCTTCCGTAATTTCATTTTTTAATATTAATTAATATTAAAAAAATACAATTTTTTTCATAATTTAAGGATT